GTACATGTGAAAAGGATCTAGGTGTCTTGGTTGACCACAAACTTGACATGAGCCAACAGTGTGACGCGGCAGCTAAAAAGCCAATGCAATTCTGGGCTGCATCAATAGGAGTATAGCATCTAGATCAAGGGAAGTAATAGTGCCACTGTATTCTGCTCTGGTCAGACCTCACCTGGAGTACTGTGTCCAGTTCTGGGCACCACAGTTCAAGAAGGACACTGACAAACTGGAACGTGTTCAGAGGAGGGCAACCAAAATGGTCAAAGGCCTGGAAACGATGCCTTATGAGGAACGGCTAAGGGAGCTGGGCATGTTTAGCCTGGAGAAGAGGAGGTTAAGGGGTGATATGATAGCCATGTTCAAATATATAAAAGGATGTCACATAGAGGAGGGAGAAAGGTTGTTTTCTGCTGCTCCAGAGAAGCGGACACGGAGCAATGGATCCAAACTACAAGAAAGAAGATTCCACCTAAACGTTAGGAAGAACTTTCTGACAGTAAGAGCTGTTCGACAGTGGAATTTGCTGCCAAGGAGTGTGGTGGAGTCTCCTTCTTTGGAGGTCTTTAAGCAGAGGCTTGACAACCATATGTCAGGAGTGCTCTGATGGTGTTTCCTGCTTGGCAGGGGGTTGGACTCGATGGCCCTTGTAGTCTCTTCCAACTCTATGATTCTATGATTCTATGATTCTAATGGTCAGGGGTCCCTTTACTAGCCATTTACAGCATGTATAAATTGCTATAGCCATTCCCTTCCCTCCTCTAGGAATCAGCTCTATGACGTTACTTCTTCCATCCCCCCCCCCAAAAAATGCATTTATAGTTCTCCTCTCACCCTGCAATCCAGCAGCATCTGAAGGACTAAAGGTTCCTTTCTCCTGGCAAGAGGATTGGAAAGGCGAGGTGAAAGTTTCAGCTTTGCTACTGGAAAATGGTAGGAAGAAGGTCCAACTTGCCTTTGGGCAATGGACCATTGCTCAGCAGTACAATATGCAGTGAATGAGGAAAGTCCTAGGCTCAGTCTGATATCTTGGAAGAGCCACTGCCTGTCAGAGTACAGATTGACAAATAGCCTTACCTGGTATAAAGCTATTTATACCTTTGACAAGTAGTGACAGTGGTTGTTACTGAGATTGTTTATATTTACATAATGAGAATGCTACTAAAAGATGTCCAGTTTTGTGCAGGAAGTGTTTTATTCTGACCAGAATTAAGTTTTGGCTGTGCACAGAATGTTTGCTCAGGCTAATGACGCCACATTAAACCTGCCACTATAGTTGCAGACCTCCCCATTTGGACAATTTATATTAAATTGGGGGCAGAGGCCTATTTGCACTTCCTGAAGCAAATTGTCGGTGTATATGCACAGCAGTTCTTCATCGCTACTTAGAGCTTTTAATTCCAGGCACCGGCTTCACGAAGACAATAAGTATTTACAGCACCAACAGGTCACTAAAAAATAGGGGGGGAATCTACATAAAATATATAAAATATATTTCACGTTGCTTTCTTGTGGCATGATTGACAGAGCAAACAGAACTGCAAAATGTTCAGAAAAGTCTATCAACAAATGCAGCAATATAGGGTGCTAAGACGAAGGAGCGGGACGCGGGTGGCGCTGTGGGTAAAACCTCAGTGCCTAGGACTTGCCGATCATATGGTCGGCGGTTTGAATCCCCGCGGTGGGCTGAGCTCCCGTCTTTCGGTCCCAGCTCCTGCCCACCTAGCAGTTCGAAAGCACCCCTAAGTGCAAGTAGATAAATAGGTACCGCTTTATAGCGGGAAGGTAAACGGCATTTCCGTGTGCTGCGCTGGTGCTGGCTCGCCAGAACAGCTTCGTCATGCTGGCCACGTGACCTGGAAGTATCTACGGACAGCGCTGGCCCCCGGCCTCTTAAGTGAGATGGGCGCACAACCCTAGAGTCGGACACGACTGGCCCGTACGGGCAGGGGTACCTTTACCTTTAAGACGAAGGAGGGAATCAAAGCCTGGGGAAAACATGGACTGCTACAAATACGTATTTTGAAGCCATGTGTTAGCAGGTTACCCAGCTACGGTGATATGTAGAAAATCACTTCTTCATAGTTACAGACTTTTTATTTCATATCTATGAGATAAAAAGTGAAATGGACCAAACTTGATCCATATCCAAAATCGGAATTTCAGAATTATGGAGTTTAAAATTACAGCTCTCTCTGCTGCAGAGCAGACCTCTCTTGAAACTGAGAAGATTTAAAAGCTATGTTAGGTATGCCAGGAGGGTCTCCTGTTGAAAGGAGAGGAGGAGGAGGACTGATCTAAAAATGAACAGAAAATCATTTCCTGGCTTTTTTCATTTTACCTTCTCTGGAACTTGGATAATTTTGGCCATCTTTTGGAGTATAGGAAAAGAAATGGCCTCCTCAGTTTAGCCACCATGAATTTTGGGCACATTGATAAATCCAGTTTTTTGCGTTGTTTAATATTATTTTAATATTGTTGGATGGAAAGACTGGACTAGGCTCCTACCCCCTCCCTTATTTTATTATTACTATTACTTTTATTATTAATTTCATTTCTATACCACTTTATATTTTTAAGAGAAAAAGTGGTTTACAACTTACATTAAAACATTAAATAAAAAAATCCATAAGAAAACATTGAAGAAAGTCAAATATAAAAAGCAACATAATTAACAGGAAACTAAAATATTACCTTAAAAGATTTCAAAATAAAAAATTACAAAGGAGGTCAGGTACAGAATGCACACACAATGCTGCAAATTTAACAAAAAAAAATCTTAACATTTCACAAGAAAACGTTACTAAAGGAAGTCAAACAGAAAATGCACATTTGAAACAACAGAATTAGCAAGAGAAAATAAAATGTTTTCATAAGCATAGAACAGATCTACTCCTATTGCTACCAATCCTTGCAATGGTGGCTCATGGCGGTCTGTACTAAAAGGCAGCCAAGATTGTCTCTAGCCTCTTCATCGGCCTCAGCTTTTGCAACTAGGGTTAGTTAGGGCCACACTGTCCCAGGCCAGTTGGGAAAAGGCCTGCAAGGTACGGAGCAGGTCTTCCACGACTCACAGCCAAGTATGAACTGACAATAAAGTTTAATTCAACATAGTGAGCCAAAATGGTTGGAGGAAGGGCTTAATTTCCTTCGTGGGCACAAATCATGCCACATATGAGATAAGCCAACAGGCACAAGGTCAGCCAAGCCAGTTGCTATAGCAATGGCCCGGGGCCCTCTATATAAGTGATTAAGGTATGTCAGCTGTTAGCCAGCCAGTGAATCTTGTGAATTGAGTTGGAGTCTGTGTTACATCTGGAGCAACAGAGGTGCTTTGTGCTTGTATATATCCGTATCTGTATCTGCACAGCCCTACAGGCTGTATGTATATACAGTGGTACCTCGGGTTACATACGCTTCAGGTTACATACGCTTCAGGTTACAGACTCCGCTAATACAGAAATAGTACATCAGGTTAAGAACTTTGCTTCAGGATGAGAACAAAAATTGTGCTCCAGCAGTGGGGCGGCAGCAGGAGGCCCCATTAACTAAAGTGGTGCTTCAGGTTAAGAACAGTTTCAGGTTAAGAACGGACCTCCGGAACAAATTAAGTACGTAACCAGAGGTACCACTGTATCAACATCCAGAAGTGTATTGCCGAAGCCTAATCTTCTACAGCAGCAAACTATTTTGGACCTTAACCTGCCTCTGTGTGTGGTGAATGGACCTGAGGGTAGCTTCCATTACATGGGTATCTCACCTCTGATTCCTAACCAAAAATTTCTCCCCCTCCCCTATGTCAGAAAATTATTTTTCTTCTTCTCCTGAACAGCTGGAGAACTTCGCTCATTCCTTGTAGATCATTTGGTGAAATTCCACACACACCATTTTGCTGCCTACGAATAGCATGGAGAATTTCTACTGACCATTTTCAAAAGCTGAACCGCCTGCATATCTGCTTCCTTCGGCAAGCTCAAAGAAGCCCTTTGAATACCAGCTTTGATGCAAGGCACTGTCAGTATCAGCAGTGGGGAGTATGAGAATCACTGTTGCTCCCAGGGGCAGATTGTTGCGAGTTTTTAAGGACACAAGAAGAGCTCTGCAGGATCAGGCCAATGGCTCTCACAGTGTCCACCAGAGATGCCTATGGGAAGCCCGCAAGCAGGAACTGAGCGCAGCTGCACTTGTGATTCACAGCCACTGAGATCGTGCTTGTTATAAGAAGCTATCCATATCAAGAAAATTGACGGCATGGTAATTTTAAATTGCTTGCGATCGCTACCAGAGTTAGAGAGAAAGGAAGAAATAGGCAACACGCTTCTGCTATATCCAAGCAGAAGTTCTTCTTGAAACCTGCTGCTAAGAAAACTTGTCTTCCACGTTTCTGAAGCCGATTGAACTCAGTAGGGCTTACTTTTTAGACATGCACAGGTTTGTGCTGTAAATATGATTAGTTATACGAATAAAAAGGAAATTGCACATTCTGTTCTGAAATACACGAATGCTGAAATAGCTCTGCATGCTATCCCTTGCCTTGTTAGAACAGTCACGTGAGGACATATTTTCATGCTCGGCGATGGTTTTGTGAGTTGTTAGCTCTCCAAGCCGGGGAAAGCCATTGTCATCTGGCTGTAGAAATAAAATAGTGCTTTTACTGGTGCAATACATTTAGAGGTCTGCAATCATATATGAATGAATGAATGAGTAAGGTAAGATCCAGAGTATTCAGGTGAACCTCTGCCAGTGTAATGGAGATTCCCTGCTCCCTCTTCCACAGGGGTGCAATAGGAGGTGAATGGGCAAAACGGGAAGGGCTGGCTTTTCCACAAATGGAAGACACCCTTTGCATCCAAGCCCATTCAAAATAAATATACTGAGGATATTTTCATGCCTTTTTCAAACCCTAGGGCTGGATTGCAAATGGACAAAGCAAGCTGAAGGGTTTTCAGGAATGGCTAGGATAGCAAAAAAAACCTCTCCTTTCTTTCATGTCATATTTGCACATCTACAGCTGTACTACCCTGAACATGCCCAATCTCATCTGATCTCAAAAGCTAAGCAGAATCAGGCCTGGTTAGTACTTGGATGGGAGACCACCTGGGAATACCGGGTGCCATAGGAATATTACTGCTGTAAGCTGCCCAGAGTGGCTGGGGAAACCCAGCCAGATGGGCTGGGTACTACTACTACCTCTCTCTCTCTCTCTCTCTCTCTCTCTCTCTCTCTGTGTGTGTGTGTGTGTGTGCTTTTATAAAGCTTTGGATTTGGTAGTTCCATTACCATGCCCTCATTGGCTTGTTTTGGGCCTCATGAACCACCTATTGATAGGTGGCTTTTATCTATCTATCTATCATCTATCTATCTATCTATCTATCTATCTATCTATCTATCTATCTATCTAAAAGCATTTATGAACCACTTAATATTTTAGAAATGTCTAAGCATTGTACAATATCGAAACAAACAATATCATTAAAACAAAGGCACAACGTAAAACCAATAAAGCTGTGGTACTAAAAAAAAATACAAAACCAAAATAAAACAGGAATTCAAATGCATAAACCTGTTGGCTACCTCCCTAGTTTGGCAGCTTCCTTGGAATTTTGCCGTGATAAATTATCTGGCACCATCAGCAGACTTGGCTAACAGAGATTCCTAGAAGACCCCACGGCTTGCTTACTTAAGTTATGCAACTGTCGGGTTCTTCCTGCCATTTACCTCCAGGGTAACCCTTTGCAACCTGGTGACCAACATATGTTTTGGACTATCGTTGTTTTAGCCAGGGCTGATGGGAACTGTAGTCCAAGATGCCTGAAAATAACTTTGTTGGGGAAGGGTGGGTGAATGTTATATAAGAGAGCTGTTATATAAGACAGCCCGGCTCCTGCGCTATGTTTGAAAAAGCTTTTGACACAGTCCTCCACTTTGTATTGCTCAGGACACATCTGCAAATGTGTTTCAGTTGAATACAAGCTCAACTGTCTTGGCTTCCCCAAAGAATCATGCGACTTGTAGTCCACCAAAAGTTGTGAAACTTCTGGAACTTCCGGGGTGGCGCCTCCGGAAAATGGCGGAATTCCCTTCGGACTGAAGGGAACCCGCTGCACGGAGGCTTGGGTCCTGCCGCTACGGCGCAGCGGGGACCCGCAAAAACCACAGGCGGAAGAAGCCTGTGGACGTGGGACTCGGCGGGCACCGAGAGCGCTCTCTCCCTTGTACAGGAGCCCGGTAACGGGCTCCGGAGTGGGAGGTGCGTGGTGCTGTGAGTAGTCTGCTTCCTCCGTGCAGCAAAGCCGCACTGCCGTTATCGGAGAGCGCTGCCTTTTCCTGGACAATTTGGCATCTAAAACATCTATCCGTGAGTACCTGATCTTAGAAGAGCTGAACCACTTTTAAGACTGGTGAATAAACAAATAATATTGGACTTGAAATTGAACTTAATTGGGACTCGGAATGGGAAGGTCTAAACAGGAAGTCGCCTTCCGTTCTTTTGTTATGTGAAGAAAGCAAAGACAAAATATACTAAAGCCTGAAAATTAAATTTTAAGAGAACTAGAATTCAACATCTAAGATTTCTGAACCCCCCCTTTGACAGCAGGAGAAAAAGGGGGTTGTATTTGGACTTTTCAATCCTGCGGAAGTGAGTTTAAAATAAAGCAATTTTCCACCGCCCTGAACCAGGAGCGGGCTGTCAGAATTGACGTTCTGAAGTTTATCCAGCTTGACAGTTAGTTAAAAGAAGGGTAACATTTTGATTCTACTGTTGCCTCTTGAATTTGGAAGGGGAATTTTGGATAAAGTGTTTCTGGAAAAAGAAAGATTGTTGCTGTTGCTTTTATTCCTTTAAAAAAAAAAAAATTCCATCTAGTGGAATTTAGTGAAATTGCAACGCAGAGAGATTAAAAGAGAAGGACTATTGGACTACTCTCGTGGGAAAGAATTTTCTTTGACCTTGAAGGACAATGCTAGTACAAAGGCTTGAACAATTGTTCCTGGAAGGTTTTTCAAAACTAAGTGCCCAGCTGGACCAGATGCGTCAGGAGACGACCTTGAGGATGGAAGTTACCAGAGCACAGCAGCAAACAAATGAAATTCAGTTAAAGGCTATACAAGCATATGAACCTGCTGTAGTGACGGAGGCTTCAGAGATGGAGGGACCTTTGGACGGGCAAGATCAGCCTTTGAACTTGATAAATGAACTTGGGACAAACCAGATTCGGAAAGATGAAATGTGGTCAGATTTGGAAATGGGGGGATGGATCGAACCCCCTCCATATGGTTATTTGGACCTTCCGAGTCTGGTGATGGGCTATCAGAGGATTGGAGTAGCCGAAGTCTCCAAGCTTTGTGGAAATTTGAAGTGGTATTATTTGCTGTCTGGCTTGGGCAATGGGTTTGGGATGGACTTGCTGCAAAGGGTCAAAAGCATTTTCTTGCTGGAGCATCCACGACTGGAAAGGAATCATCAACAAGAGTGGCGAAAGGGGCAAGAAAGAGACTTGAGGGCCTCGGATACGAGACAACCAGGTTAAGGGAGGTTAAAAGGACTGACAATCCCGGGTCCAGGGGAGGGGAGGTTGGAAGCTGACTGGACTGAATTCGACTTATTAATTTTTCTTTTTTATTTTTCAATATTGGGAATGCTTACAAATGTTTGAAGGATGTTGAATGAAATTACATGGCTTAAGTAAGGATTGGTAAATGATTCGTAAAAAGGTAATGATGCAAGAATTTGGTAAATATTGAATATAAGCTATGAGTTTTAAAGTTTTTATATGACAAGAGGGAAAATAGAATAAGGAAACGTAATGACAGATTGTTATGAAAAAACAGAAAGGATTTGCTGTAAAAATTAAAAATTAAGAAACAAAAGAGGGGAGGAGGAGGAAGTCTAGAAAGGAAGTCAATAGAGATTGTAAAGGACTTTATATTTTTGTTTTTCTGTTTCTCTTTTTTTTCTTTCTTTGCGGCTGGGTTTTCTTTTCTTTTTTGTTTATGCACTATTTTTGTTTTTTGTATCCTAAAATTTTTTTTTTTTGGAAATTTTTGTTGTTATTTTTTGAAAATTCAATAAATATCAATTATAAAAAAAAACAAAAGTTGTGAAACTTCTGTGTCAGAACATCTCTCCCGCCCCCCCCACTTTGAACTAGGAACCGCAACATCCTGATTTTTATCATGAGAGAGCGGCGGTCATTTTGGTTGCCGTGGTCTCATGCGATTTCATGGTGCAACCCTCCCACTTAAAAAGCACATTTTCAGAGCTGTGATATTGCGCAGCACCCCAAAAAAGCGTTTTTCAAAGGGGGTAGGGACTGCATTGAGAAATCGTACCAGGTCACGGCAACCAAAATGGCCGCCATGCTCTCCCAATAAAAAACAGAAAGATGGAGTCCGTCCAGATGGCATCCCAGATTTTGGCTTCAAAGTGTTGGGAATGACCATTGCTCGGTGGCAGAACTTTCTACATGCAAAGCAGTTGTTCTGTCACTGAGCAATGGTCTTTCCCTGAGCTACATTTCCCTGGTAAGAGGGACTCAAGCTGCAGTGTCAGAAAAACCCAACCCTAAGTATATACTGTATTGCTCCTGTCTGCATGCTTGTTATCACTCTCAAATAATTATGAAGCTTCTGGAGGCATAGGGTGTTCTGTTCACATGTTTGTAAGCCCTGAGGAAAAACTGTTCCCTAAAGAAAACGAGGGCGATGTGAGAGAGAATCATTACTTTCAAACCAGCCTTGGAGACCACAGCTTGCTTTCCCTTCCTGGAAGAAGTGTGCAGCCACTTTGATCATGTATCAGCTAGCAACTGCTTAGGGAGGCCAATATCATGCTTGGAAAAGCTCTTGTGTCTTGAAATGAGAAATTTTCTCCTTCCCTGGGTGCTTTGGGGACACGTCTTGTGTTTGAGGGGCTGAAATGGAAGCTGGCCTTGAGCACACAAGAATTTATATGGCTGTATAGGATAGTGGTGGGCTCCCCCCACCCAGCCTGTAGGCCAAATACAACCCATAGTTGGACTTAATGCAACCCGCTGGGTCCCTTTCTGCCCTTTGGCTGAGTGGTGAGCCTCTGAGAGAGAAGGGGCTTTGATGGTGTTAAATCGCACCACCTTCTTCTGCAAGAAAATCAAAGCAGACAGGAATAAATACCTTGAGAGAGACAGAGACCTTGTGTTCCTTGCCAGTATGAATAAAGTGTCCGTGCATTTAGTAATTGTTTCCATTCATTTGTTATGAATTCTGTGCAGTTCCATGCAATTGCATTTTGCTGTTTGAGACTTTGAATTGCTACAAAGCACGGCTTGCAATTTAGTTGTGTGCTGACATTGTTTGCAATCTTCAGTTGGGATTGTTGAGTCGGTTTCGACTTTTGCAGGACAGATAAAGGGTGTTGGAAAGCTTTTTAAAAAGCAAACAAGCAAACTTGGTTTTATGGTTTTGAGGAGAAAATGGAAGGGGAAATTGAGTAGATTTAATAAGAATTAAATGTATTTCCATAAGAAGTAGCTGCGTATGAGTGTGTGTGATTGTGCAGAGGATGGTCTGCCCCAGTACTGGAAGGGGAAATTGAGTAGATTTAATAATAATAATAATAATAATAATAATAATAATAATAATATAATAATAATAATAATAATAATAATAATAATAATAATATATATTTGCATAAGAAGGAGCTGTGTATGAGTCTGTGTGATTGTGCAGAGGATGGTCTGCCCCAGTACTGCAATGTAGCATCGGACAGCTTTCCATGGTGGGTGGGGAGTAATGTGACGCTTGTCTCAGAAATGTTTCCCCACCCTTGAAGATGCTAGAGAGGGCACGCAGGGTAGCGAAGAAGTTCTGCATTGCATTGTTTCATCCGAAGTCTAGTTTAAAGCATCCCCATATTTTGCACATCCGTTTCCAGTTTCACTACATTGCATGTGACAGGTGCTTGAATGTGTTGTGAACTGCGAGCCCTGACTTCAAAGGGAGGTTGCACATTCAGGCGATTCCATAATATTCCGTTAAAGCCGAGTTAAACTGATTCCACATGACATCAGTATTAATGAGGATCAGTAAGTAGTGCAGGCTGTAACCTCAGGCCAGGCAGCGAGCAGAAAATCACAGGAACGG